ACAAAAGTTACTCAATTTTAAATAGCGTGTGTTCAGTTTTGCTCTTAACTGTACAAAGATCACAAAAATCAAAATACATTTTAACTTTATAATAATTTGATTGTTTCTGAAAAGCACAAGAATTAAAATTCACGTAAATTTTATAATAATTTATAGCTTTAGAAAAATTATAGAAATCAACATCAGTACTATAACATACTCAATTCACTTTAATTTTGTAACAATTTATTGTGTCTCCGCAGACGTGGGAGTTATTAGTTTCCTTGTGCATAGAATCTGACTTATGTCATCAGACAAGATCGCAATGATGTGTCAAGATGTATGTACTTCCTGCAGCTTGTGATTCATCTCACGTCATTTAACAGATCTTACGAATCGAACATGGAGAAGTAGCGTTTCAGGAAGTACTTAACGGATCTCATAAACTAAAGAAATAGTATCCGATTAAATTTAGAGAAATTAGAAATATTTTTATAATGTATATAAATAAATATAAAACAGTTTGCATTGTTACCAGATATCACGCTTTTGCTGGTATTGATGAATAAAGTCCGCATGGATGAAATGTCATCTTAGTACATCTTGATGTTTTTATATTGAACTAGCATTCTCCATCGCAGCTTCGTCTGCAGTACTTTTGACAAAGAAATCACTTTATATCAAGTAGTACATATTTTCAACATTAAAAATTTTTATTTTACTTGATAAGTGTTGAAATAAATCTAACTAAATAAGAAATATTGCCAGTAAGTGTAAATTTTTTTGCAATTACTCTATTCTGTAATCAACAATTTTCTCAATGTACAAAATGACTATCAAACTTATTGTGGAATTAATTTTTAGTTCTTTTATAAAGTGACATTTAGCCACCAGAAACAGTTTGATATCTCATCAAGTTGAAGAGATATTGCAAAACATAGAAAAACACAGATTACTCCATTTACTATCTTAAGGGTGGAATTTCGGAAAATCGTTCCTTATTCAGCGCTTATAGGAGAGAGAACGAGTATTTATACCTTGAAAATTTTTAATCGATCGATGCAGTGGTTTCTCGTGGGCGAATATGAAAGTCAAGTCAGGACATTCTCTTTAATATACATGGTGAGTCAAGAGGAAATATCATTTTAAGTTATTATAGTCATTGATGTTATTATAAACTCGGAAGGAAACATATTTCAATTTGTCAGAATACATGGTTACATTTATTTAATGATCTCCATCATATAATACCTAATAATGCACTGCATCTTTTGATAAGATCAATAAATAATAAATTATAGTAAATGATATTTCTTACGGATTCATTTTGTATACAGATAGGAGATTCAGACATGGGAGAATGTATACATATACAATCTACAAAATATCTAAAGTTTGTTTATGCAAAATAAAACATTCATCTCAATTAAAAAAATAGGATTTAAATATTCTTTTATCATTTAGACATTATAATAGTAGTTTTTGATATTTCGTATACTTTTATGTTACATTCTTTGTATTT